GTGTTACCCTATTTGACGTGGACATGATATGATAAACACAGCATAACCATATACATCATACATTTTTAAACAACTATAATACAACCACTAAACAACCACGTTCAACCCATTGCAAGGCGAACTTGTCACAACAAGGCGAACTGACAACCAGGTAAGGCGAATTTTGGTGAATGCATATTCAGAGCCAGCTGAAATCAGCGGGTTCAAGTTTATGAAATGGAAAGTTAAAGCCAAACCAATAAGGTCAAAGTTACGAGGCCGAAGTTAAAGCCGAACATAGTGCGCAACGGTGTTTTGAAAAACAAAAGCCACTTTGGCGTCTGCTTAATCTGTACGGGTCAAGGTTTTGCAAACTGATTAAGATGAGATGTTAGCATGATGCATGACGCGTGAGTTTTTGGACAATCGTCCCGGTCTATGGTAATAGCATGCACGTGCACACGTTTCGGAGAGTTGCTGTCACCTGTCTGGATAAGGTGCTTGGTTTCGAGAATGACCAACTAGTTTTTGTCGGTTTGCTAAGGTGCTCGGTCTTGAGAATGACCGAATAGCTTACAGTCATGTATGCGTCACGGCCTCGAAAACTTGTTACGTATGTTGAGATGAGAGTAAAGGCAATACTTTTTAAGCTAAGTCTGAACTGCGGTGGAAAAAGAAGTCAACAATACAAAGCTGAAGCCGGTATTTTTTAGAAAACCGCATGAAACTGATCCCGTAGCGTGGTTTAAACAACGATGCTCGAAGCTTAAGTAGAAGCCAGCTTTCAAAAACAGTAAAATGCTGGAGCCGAAGCCGAAGCCAACAGATGTCAACCATGGGAAATGGCTCAAAGACAAAGCAGAACCCAAGGCCATTGCAGGAAACTTGCGGCCTCGAGAAGCCGAAGCCGATACCAGACAACTTCACCCCCATGCCTACACTAAAGGCATGTTGTCATCGGTATAACGTTAAGTTTCGTTCCAAGACACTCCGTTGCATTGAACTTCCGCATGTCCTCAATCTTTTTGCCTATTTTCTCTGAGTTTCTAACACGCTTAAAGCGATTAGTGTCCGTTTCAACAGCACTATTTCTGTGAAGTTTTGTCTTCCTCTTTTAAGGCGAAAAGTAATTCAAATCGCCCAAAGAATCTAAAATCATTCAAACCGAAACACAAATTCGAGAACTCTATCATGTTCGCTCTTCTTTTTTCTCTCACTGCTTGATCCAGAATTCTGGCAACTTCGGAGCAAGCTGCGGCCGTCGTCATTAGGGGCTTAGGTGGGGGCTGAGGGGCTACTGGACACGAGTGTTACTCTGGAGGGAGCCCCGCCGGAGGCCGGAGGGAGCCCGCCGGAGCACACGCACCTTTCCCAAAGAAGGGTTTCTGCACGGGGCAAGATTCGGAAGTGAAGGATTCCCAGGTGGTCATAGTCTGGCCCCACCACTCACCTCTCTCCTTCATCCCACATTCCTGACATGCTCATTGCTAGCCGAAAGTGGCCTAATCCTAATCATAACAAAGAGGCCTAAGTGGTCTGGTAAAGATTACGAGGGCAAAGATGGCTTGATGAATTTTTACTTGACATAAGAAAGTAAGGTCTTCAGATCGTGATTTTTCGGCAGCATTATCTCAACGTTCTTATTCAGAGTTAGCGAGTCCTTGTATGCTAGGAGATACTTACTTAAACAACGTTTAGGTGCTTAACGATTGTAATAATTAGTTTCGCCCATATTCTTCAATAATTCGTCAATAATTCGTCAATAGTCAAGAATTAATCGTAATTCGTCCACATCATTATATCGGCTATACTCACTTTTTCAAGCTTAAGAGTTCCGCATCGTCTTAAGATGTTGCTTAAATTTATACTTTTATGTTTATATTTATGGCGTTTAATTCCACTGCGGCGTGTCAGTCCAACCCGCATTCTCCCAGCAGTGTGCGTGCTCTCCGCAAACTTGTCTCCGTAGTGTTTATTACACCGATCGCGAATGCTGCGATTTGTTTTTCCCACATAAAATATATCTGGGGAAAGGTTACAAAATATATACTGCGTACTAGGCCCTTCCGCGTGAAATTTTCTCTCTGTCCATTCACACATATATGGTAAACCAAACTCCCAGCTGTACACGTTGGGGTCTCTCGCGCTGATTGTGCTAGCGTGGATATTCACGAAGGATCACTTGTCCACGCTACCCTAGACCGTGCAGGCCACTCGGTCGTGCGGTGGTATTGACTTGTTTGCACAGCTCATCGTCTATATAATGGAGTTTCATGTAAAGATAATTTGTTTGCTTTGCTCTTTTGTAACTTCTGCGCGAACCTGTTGTAGCGTTAAATCGAGAACGTGCGACACCAGCGGCAGACCTCACTCTGTCTTCAGGGGTATCCATTTTCACGGAAAACAAGGGACATCTTAGCCAGAATACGCTCACATGATTGTGGATCGGGAGTAACTCTGCTGATGTTTGCGGTTGTGGAATAAGACTATGCCGTATCAGTAGCCACGAATGTGCCGAATTGTAATGTGGCATGATACGAGAGGCCAGGGGTTTAGAGCAGAGTTCTGTGAGCTAACTTGTAATGGATTGTACCACAAAAAGGGTGTCGAGGAGTGAACTTGACAAGTTTTGTGCGTTGTGTTATAGTGTGAAAGAAATATTGAGGTGATGATGATTCATTTTTGCAAACAATTCTCGCAGTGAGCTCAACCCATGGGTGCAGATGCTAAAAATATGATCCGTGTAACGTAGGTGTAACTTTGCTCTTAGACCACATTTGGCTAGGAAGGGTGACTCAAAACAGAATATCAGGGCTATCGCTAGCGGCGGCGTGCACCACCTGTCCCATCGAAATTTCTTTTGTTTGTGTGTACATCGAGTTCCCGAAGCGCACTAGGTCATGATTTAATATGTGAGTATGTAGTAAAGCGCAGGCAGCCGAGCAAATCACAAAAGGGCCTATCCCATCGAGGTTTTCTTCGATAAGACTCATTACCGAGTCTATGCCTGCTGGGAGTCTATGCTATGCTTTGTCATACAATTTTTTTACATCCATGGTGAAAACGATACTACCAGAGGCAAGTTTAGTCGAAAACATGCCTTTAAAGGGAGTGTTCCACATTGATATGGGGTTTTGAACTGAAATAGTCATCTAAAATCCTGCCATTCCATAAGCCATGTGGTGATCGAAGCCAAGAACATAATTGTCGAGGCGTTCGTATCTGACGCTCGTGAGCGCGCTTTCCAAATCTAACAGTCGTCAGTTGGCTCTCATTAAATGTTATGCAATATATGGTGACGCAACCAGACCATGACGCATTGAGGAGCGTAGTTACTAAACAGAGAAATGTGCTGGCTACAGCAGTCCTTTCCACTCAAAAAGTATACTAAAAGTTAGAAGTGAGCTTGTTTCATTATATCTGATGCTTGCTTTACTATCTTCCAATGTAAAATATTTCCTTTAAGAAGGAAGGCAACGATCTTTTTCGGAGATTGAGTTCACAGTTTCTTTGATGATAGCGCATGTTTCAATTCCCAAACGTTGAGTAGGGTGAGGACGAATGGGCACGCTACGGTATGCATTGATGCCTTTCGTGGCTTTCTAATTTGTCTACCTTGTTTAAAACTACCAAACTTTTGCATTTGTCCGATGATTTGGGCTTTACGTTGAGGCTTTAATTGCCTTTTGGGTTAATTAAAATACAATAATCACCGTTTGGGCTTTTGATTACCTTAATTGGGTTACGTTTGGGCTTTAATTGCCTTTGATGTGCTGGAACAACTTGTTCTGAGCACCAGTATCATCAGTTTCTTTCCTGCTGTCCTTTTCTACCTTAACGAACTTTGCTGTAAGTTATCTGAATAAAGTCTTTGCGTGCGCTGGTGCTTTCGAAGGTTGGTAGGCCGCAGTATCCGCGAATGACGGTCGATGTTTTACGGTACTTATGATATCAATTGTTTAATCTTTCTTATGTGCCTTCACCGCAGGCCGTAGATATTTCTTCTGTTCCAGTTGCTCCCCCCCCCCCCCCACCCACCCACCCCTCTCTCTTGTCATGTCATTCCGTTCTATGCGCCGTGGTAATGCAAGGTTCGGGCCTTTTCTAGAAGCTTTACAATGTCGGCGTGAGGTTCTGTTGCATTAAGTTAAAAGTACGCACCTTTTCAAAATTGGGGAACTGTGTAATTTCATTTGCGTACTGCTTGTTCATGAGGTGTACGTCCTTTTCCTGCATCCTTCTTGCCCTGCGATGACGCCAGCGGTGCCCGCGCACTGTTTAGTTGGCCTAAGTGCTCCGACAGCTACGTTTTGTTACTTCGTTGGTCTCTGGCACCTTTCATCGTTATCAAAATACTCCGTAGTCGCACAGCCGGCAGGAAGGAAAGAAACACAGAGCCCGCCGTCACGTGGCCTCGCACATCAACCCAATGTGCAAAACCATGCATTGCACATGCAGCGAGTACAAACAGACTAATGAACCAATCAAAACAAACCACGCTATCACTACTATGGATCTCAACACAACGTAACGCGGATGGTTTAAGCGACATGTGCAGTCGCAAACAACTGTTTTGACATGCTCGCCATGGATCGATTTCAGACAAATAAGTCTGAATTCAATTCGTTTTCTCTTCTCATGTTGAAGCAATTACCCCACTGATGAAGATAGGCTATTCTACACACTGTTCGTTGACTGTAAGCCACTAAGCCAGAGCTGAGCACTTCATGATTTATCATCGCTGTTACCAATGCTGCCCACTCACCATTTTTGTGTCCGGCTGGCCCGCTTCATTAGCGCTTGAATCCTCCGAAAAGCTGGAGGTCTCAACACCAGGACTAGCCATTTCACGATACGACGGCGCCGTCTCCAAATGTCCATTACTCGCCGCTTTGGAATCCTTCTCACTCAATGCGCTTGCGGCGGAGTTAGCTGGAGAATTCTCCACGTCCAGCTCTCCAGAATTTTCTTACGATCGTGACACTGCTGGACACTTATGGAACGTCAAATCGTGCATGAAATCTAGGACAGGAAAATTGTTTATTGAATGCGCAGTTGCAGCACTTATTTTCGCATCATCGCAGTGGGACGATGGATAAACAACAGAACATTTAGTAAGCGTGCTCTAGTGCAACCTTCAAGCTTGACGTCAGTTTGACAACTCGGGATGACGTTCAGCTTACAGTAACCATGAACGTAATCCTACGCAGTTATTAATCGCAAAACATCGTGCACAGTGAAATGCTCGTAAACACGATTCGACTTAGACGTTACACGTGATTAAAGCCTGAGCTCATCGCCAAGTTAACACAAACTTCAGCGCGAGAAGCCTCGGGGATGCAAGCTGTAGAAAATACCCGCACATGTAAGAAAATAAGGGCGCCGTTTGGTGCTGTCTGGACATGCATCCGAGACCGACCAAGTCAGCTCGCTCCTGGTCACGGCTAAGACGACTCAGGTGATGACCGCGTGGGAAGTGCTCCGCGTCCACCCATCACATGAACCCATACAGGCTAGCCTTCCGACAGCTCTTCGACAAGCTCAAGTGCCTTCGCAATGGTACGAAGGGAGCCTGCTGCCGCTTCATCCCAATGCCTCTCACCAGCACCGTTAGCCGAAGGCCTACGGCGACTCTGGCGCTCGCCGCCGCGTTCCCACGCCCAAACCTGATGTGTGACCCGTGTGCCCAGAGTGACCCCCGACCCGCGAGACCCCGGCGCTGCTCAGCTGCGCTCCTCCACCGGCTCCGGTCGGCCCAGACCCTCCAGCGCCAGCTGGATCAGGCTCTCGGTGCTCAGACGCTCGTAGCCCGAGGCGGCCCGGTGCAGGGCGTTTAGGAACCGGAAGGCCGCCTGGCCGCCGTCCGTCTCCTGACACCGCTCCAGGGCGTCGTACACCAGGCGGCCCAGCGCGCGAGTCGAAATGTTCTGAAACGGGAGGAGCATGACGCCACTGGCAGAGAACACAGAACGACGTCACAGATGGGAGGTCTGAGGACTGTCGGTGTGCCGTCACTGGGGGGAGACAGCAGCCGACGTCACGGCTGAGGAGTCTATCGGGTATGGGCATGATGTCAGTGGCCGACGACACCGGCTGCCGCCACGGCTGTGGAGTCAGTCGGGTATGAACATGACGTCAGCGGCCGATGTTACGACTGACGAGTCTGATGGGTATGAGCATGACGTCAGTGGCCGACGTCGCCGGCTGACACCACGGCTGAGGAGTTTGATGGGTGTGTACATGACGTCAGCGGCCGACGTCACGGCTTAGAAACCTGATGGGTGTGAGCATGACGTCAGTGGACGACGTCACGGCTTAGGAGCCTGATGGGTATGAGCATGACGTCAGTGGCCGATGTCATGGCTGCGGAGTCTGATGAAAATGATCATGACATCAGTGACCGACGTCGCCGGCTGACACCACGGCTGAGGAGTTGAGGGTGTGTACATGACGTCAGCGGCCGATGTCATGGCTGCGGAGTCTGATGAAAATGATCATGACATCAGTGGCCGACGTCGCCGGCTGACGTTACGGCGAGCAGCCTGATGGGTATGAACATGACGTCAATGGAGACGTCACGGCTGAGGAGTTTAATGGGTATGAACATTAATGTCGGATGGCCGACGTCGCCGGCTGGCGTCACGGCTTAGGAGGTTGATAGGTATGATCATGACACCTGAAGAATATGTTGGGTACGATCATGACGTCAATGGCCGACGTCATGGCTGAGGAGTGTGATGGGTATGATCATGACATCAGTGGCCGGTGTCATGACTGAAGAATATGATGGGTACGATCATGACGTCAATGGCCGACGTCATGGCTGAGGAGTGTGATGGGTATGATCATGACATCAGTGGCCGACGTCATGGCTGAGGAATCTGATGGGTATGGGCGTGATGTCAGCGGCCGACGACACCGGCTGACGTCACGGCTCGGGAGCCTCTTGGGTGTCGGCGAGGTCGACAACGATTTTGCGACAGAAGGCTGCTATCTACGATAAGGAAATCGATGTTCAATTTATTGTGCGTTTGGGTGTCATCACTCCGAAATGGGGACGTGACGAACTGCTCGCGTAGACGCCACAAAACAGCGTCGAAATTTGTCCAGTTATATAAGTAGTAATAAAATCGTTGCCAGCATCAGCTTTGACAAACTTTGGTGATTGCCATATCAATTCGAAGTCTGGTCTCCCGAGCGTGTCCGCCGCGCTAAAAATGAAATGGCACTGGCAAATTCAGAAGTAAAAATGTTTCGAGATGAACGAAGCCCCAGAGAAAAATGCATTGATAATCTGATGGACGGAGACTGATTTAGGCGCGCCCTCACCACGTGTCGGAGATTCCGTAAGACGTCCAGCACACTGTTGGCCCGCTCCTGAAGAAGCAGGAGCGGCTGCTGCTCCTGCTCCAGGTGCTGAATATCGCTGGCCATCAGCTGGCAGTCCTCTTGTCGCTGCGTGACCTCCTGCATTAGCTGGCGGCGCTCCTGAGGAGACATCGGCAATACTCAGCATTGCTGAGTTGATTTAAGCCTGCCGGGTGCTGCTGAGGAAAAGACTGCCGGTATTGCTGGAAGACAACGGACAGTCAGCACTGCTGACGTGATACCACAGGCAGTCAGAAGCCCTGAGCAGCAACCAGGGATAGTTAGGGCCCATGAACAGTCGCCAGAGGCAGGCTTCTCTGCCAGGGATACGTGTGATTTGGGTCCAGAAATGTCTGAACCGGGTTAGGCAGTGTGCAGGAACTGGTGTAGGCAGGGAATGGATGGAGCACGTTTACGTGCAGCAAACAACTTCCACACCGATTGGCAGCGAGGGAAAAGACCAGGGTCAAGACGAGCCTATATTTTGTCTGCCACTCCAGACGAACTGCCTAAACTGTTGCTCCGCCCCCACCGCCTCAAGCACCTGCTCCCACTCCTGTTCGGCGTCCAGGAACTGCTGACGCAGCCACTGCACTTGCTCCTCCAGCCGGATGAGAGCGTCGTGCTCCTCCTCCGTGGCAGACGAAGAGGCAGCTCGCGTCGGCGTCTCCGCTGACTCTCTGCCAAGAGAAAAGGAGCTCCGTCGTGATAGGAGCACCGAAGAGGAGCTCCGTCATGAGAGGACCTCTGCCGACCTCTCTGTTAGAAGAGGTGAACCTCTCGTCCGGCTAGGAGCGGAGGGCACCTGAGGGACTCCCTGTTAGAGGAGGTGGATCTCTCGCCCGACCAGGAGCGGAGGGCATCTGAGGGACTCCCTGTTAGAAGGGGTGGACTCTCGCCCGGCCAGGAGCGGAGGGCATCTGAGGAACTCCCTGTTAGAAGGGGTGGACTCTCGCCCGGCCAGGAGCGGAGGGCATCTGAGGGACTCCCCGTCAGGGTAGGAGGACTCCTGATGAAATCCACCAAGTCAGAGGAGGATCTCTGAGAGGCTTCCTCTCAGTGAAGACCTCTGATAAACCTCTGCCAGAAGACAGGTTTATTTGTTTAAGGGAGGTTTAAGAAATAACTTGATTTGCTTTCAGACATTCTGTCTGACAAGCTGGCGATGTTTAAGCACGTATTTTGTTGTGAGAGTTTCTGAGGTGGGTCAACGCGTGACAACCGTGAGGTGGGCCCAGTGGCAACCGTCAACAAATAAAATGCATAAGCCACCAAATAGCGACATTCTCCCCGTGTAAAGGGCACTGTAACGAGCATTTTTGGAGAACTCATAGCAAGGAGGACACTTTCAAATCTGTTTAAATACCTAATGATAAGTCATACGCGTGCTAGCGGAGTGAGCTCTCCTCGGCGTGATGATAACTCCAGACGTGGGGTGATGTTTAGTGGTCTTCAGCAAGTTTTTTCTATAAACAACGCCATTTCTTTAGATGACATCCGCACCAGCTGCCACTGACCAGCAGTGCTAGCGCAGGAGCTCCGAGAGCAGCCAATGGGAGCAGCCATTACGTACCTGTGCCACCCACGCGGTCGAATTTACGAATTTATTTGCAGCCGTACTTAGTATACCCGTGGGAAACCTTGCATAACTTTGCGCGTGAGATAGCTGCCTGATTGGGTTGCTGTGTGGAAAGCGCGCACAGTCTCAGTCTATCAGCGAGAGGACGATTGGCTCTAAAGGGCTCCGGTGAGAGCCAGAGTAGTATTCATCCGATCGCTCACGCAGATGTGAACTAAAATGTTTGTTCAGAATTACGTGTAAAATGTTACCCCGTAACAAGCACTGTGATTGCTACGAAGTTACAGTCAGTAAAACCTTGCAGTTCCAGACATCCAGACTGCGCCCCACGCGTTCCTCTCACCAGTGCACCGAGTGTTGGTTCTGTTTTGCCGCGATCCAGCACTGTTCAGTGAGAATTTCTTTTTGAAATCTCGATAAGCTTTGACTGCCCCAAGTTGGGCTAACAACTGACAGCTGCTCTGAGGTCCCGGTACGAGACCACACGGGAAATCAACAGCTTTTCAAAAGCATTTCAGGTGTACACAAGTTGTCACACTACGAAGCAAAACAAAAATATGTTTACTACTGGGGACTTGGAAACTTTGTTAGTACTCGCGTTATTGTCACTTTCAGCGCATTTACAACTAGATGTTATGCACCAAGAATAGCACAACTTATTTTGCTAGTTGAGACTGGAGCTGTGCGCGAATTCGCACATCATGACAGTGTGGATTTTCTGAGGTTTGCTCGTATAACGTCCAAAGTGTATTACTATTTTGATCGGTGAAAGCCTGAGAGATAAACACACGACACGCGGTCCGGTCAGCATCATTTTGAACAGAGAACTCTCTGAGAGCCAGCCTGGTTTACGTCAAATTGCGGATTTCCATTAGCAATTATCACCGCGGCCAAGGGCCCAGTTTAGCAATGTTTAGCAGTTTAGCAATGTTAGCAAAGAACTTGGATTATTTTGTCTCGATCCTCCGCCATAGACCCAATGCCAAATTTCTGGCAGTGGGAATCGGTTTTCTTGGCATTGATCTCCACATCCATCATTGGTGTATTCTCTTTGTTTGAACGCTTATCAGTTTTCTCAGCGAAAGCGAGTAGGGCTGATGTTCAGCAGATCAATCCGCCGAACACACCGCGTCCCAACGCTTATACCATTATAGGTATTGGGACGTTATAGGAAAGAAATTAAACTTGACATGCCTTTTTCAGGCATATCAGACATTAGCGCCAATGGTTCAGTATGTGAGTACCGACAAATATTGGTAATAGATACCCCACCAAAGCCGTTGGAATATCTAACCATACGGCCTAGTACTATGTACATTTGAGCAACCAAACAGGTAGAACAACGCTCTTAGTCAGTTTTTTTTTTTGGCCGATCGCGAACGTTTCCCGCTGCAGATGTTTAGGATGGACTTCCTACGTCTCTGTTGCAAAAATGGTATATCAAGGCCACGCAAGAAGCATTTATTTTCCTTATCACCCACAGCCGTACTCATGGCATCTAAAGGCTTGGTGCCTTAATAGTACCGGGGGTGAGCTGGTTACCTTCACCGCGGTTAAGTGAGGTAGAAAAGGTAGAAGCTGACCCTGGCGGCTGTGCAGTGAGATACGCTGGGCAATCGTCGCGGCGCCAGTCACCTGAGCGGTGAGCGTGCAGGGTCGGTGACGTCATCGGCGACCGCGACCGGTGATGACGTCATCCGGTCATGTCCGGGTGGGGTGCGGCCGTCAGCCTCCGCTGCGGCGGCACTCCCCGGATCGGTTTCGGCCGCGGCTCTGGCTTCGACTCCGACTCCGGCTTCGGTTTCGGCTCCCGTTCCAGCAGTGGTTCGGCCAATGTCGTCTGCCGCAAAGTTCGACAGTAAATTAGCCACGGCACTTCTTTTGATTGGTCGTAGCTCGATGCCCGGCGTGGGCGCCGGTGAACTTGGTCCATTCAGGTGGCGTTAGCTCGGGACTGAGGCGTCTGCCAGACGGGTCCGCCACTTCCGTCTGCAGGCAAACAGACATGCCCGGCCACACGTGGAGAGGAAATGGGTGGATCGCTCCGCATTGTATGGGCTTAATCCCATGAAAAGTTCTCAGTCAAGGATTTGGCACGGCATGCTCAGACGCATGGTCTGAACGGTGACGTTTGACCAAAATCGATTTGACAGTCATAACGAATTCAGCCATCATGGCCATGTAATTTCGTGAGCGTCTTGTTCACAGCCCTGCGAGCTGTTTAAACCCGGACATTGCAGACCCGCGGGCTCGAAAGTGACAGCTCTGCACTGCACTACAGGAGCTGGCGCATACATCATTAAAAATGCATCGTATAGTACAACGCAACGACGGTTTTCACATTGTCTCGTGTGGACCATTGATCAGGCGGCCGGAGCTCAGTACCCTGGCATCATCAGCAGCCGACACTTACGTATCGTGTCGTCTGCCGCGTATAACAGCTGTCACGCATGCTGCTCAGTAACCGTGCTCGTAATTCTCCCGTGCTGTTCAGTTACCGTGCTCGTAATTTTCCCAGAATATGTGCCCACCCCAACTCGTTAACCATTTCATGTGCTCATAGGTTTAGCCAATCCGTGAATTTATCTGGGTTGAATAGTTGATTTTCTGGAACACTCGAGTTTATATGGTCAATTGGAATCTCAAGCTGGTCATCTCGTTGGATACTTGGCACTGTTGGTTGGTTGAATTCGCTGGAATGAGCTATTCAGTTGGTTGCATGCCTTGGTTTGTTGTGGTTGGGTCCTTGAGATGTCTGTAGGCTGAGGAAATTTTCTGCATTAAGCTCTGGACTTTACGTGGCTTGCTATGTTATTCATTTACCTGTTGTATTTTCGTCAGTCCTATTGGTAATGTTTGTGCATTTCATCGTCGATTTTAACATCCGCTATGTACACCATAGTAATTAATATCGACTGATTTTTTGGCAACATATTCGGTTTATGCGTTGATTAACCGACCGATGAATTGATTAGTGGATGCCGAATGTCACCCCTTGAAATCAGTCCGGTACACACTATGGATGCGTTTACACATATCCCTAACTGGAATTGCCACATCTAACACATCAAATGCCACCTACATTTACAAACTCTGTGACACGTTTGCACGCATGAACAGACTTGTCAGATGTGAGCGCATATGTCAAAGACCACTTCTAACCCGAAGTGCAAACAGCTGTCCAGTTCGAGTGCCGTCAACATATTTCTTTGTGAGGTATGTTCACATTAACTGTTCAAGTGACTTTACCTATGGAGTCCTCGTTAAGCAGAGGACGCCGTGTGTGCAGATGATAGTGATTCCGCTGCCCAGGTGGTCTAGGCCGTGGAATAATGTTGTGCTATCCCGTTAGCTCAATAGAGCCGAGGACGGCGGAAGCAGCGGGCAGGGACAGCGCAAGAGGCCCGATCTTTTGGGAAAATGAGCATTGACTCTGGTGTTCCATGGAAAGAACGAGGTGACATCACACCATCCCACCTCTATCGTATCCAAGAACCACTCATCAAAGGTTAGAGCTGGGCATTTTGATCGTGCATTGCAAGGCCACGACAATGCCGCCAATTGTAAAAGCTTCCTCTTCTTGTCTGGAAAATTTCAGGTGAGGGTCGAGTCGAAGTGAGACTTCAGTTTAAGTGGGTGCCGAATTACAGTACGCCGCGCAGTAATCAGGCCTGCCAGTCGCCGCGACGCTAGAGCGGCGTACAGACAACTGCTCCGCAGCGACGGCACACCTGCCCACGCGTGGGCGCACCGGTCAGCGTCCTCAAATGAGGACGTCGGCCAGATCCCACCGCCGTCTGCATGTGAGTGCCGGAGCTGCTCCGGCCAGCGTGATTGGCCCCCGGTTCTCACCTGAGCTGGCCTCCGTGCCGGGGTTCTCACCCGAGCTGGTCTCCGTGCCTGGGTTGTGGGGTCGAGTCTCCTCGTGCTCGCTCTCCGAGGTTGAGTAGAGGCCGCTGTCCACGTGGGAGAGTGCGCGTGGCTGGCTGCCAGACCTGTGGATACGGCCCGGCATAAAACTTTCCAAACTTCCGTTGCAGGTTTTGAACTTCGAACTCCAACACGTGGCGTTGCATGACAAGTGGTATTCCTAGAGCATTGGATGTTTCGTTCATTTTCGCTAGGCAAGGGTTCTTATATATTCCTGTTCCTCCGAACCACCTCCCTGACATCCGGGCTGTTTCTCAGTCAACCGAATGGATAGCAGGTGGGGCGGTACATTCAGTCGAGCCGTCAGGCCCTCGCTCGTATGGTCGTAAGCTACACAACAAATGTGATACACTAAACGGTCCGTCAAAAAAGGCCTCCCGTCACTGGCATGGCAACTTTCATCTTGCCAGAGTTCTCTTCTTACGCTGCAAAAGTCCGGAAAGTTTTGGTCCTAAAACGGGCCCATTGGAAGGCAAGGACTACCTGGGTGATGGGCACTTCATTATGACGGTGCCCTGGCTCGAAAGCTTTACGGCCGAAGACAAAGCCGGGAAGTGGCAGTAGTTCAGGTGCGCTGGATTAGCTATGATTGAAAGAACTGAATTTTTAACTCTCCTCGTCGCAGGAAACACAGAATTGGAACCCGTTTTAGAAAGCCAAATCTTTTTAATTCTGTTCATCACCACACACAATTCACACAGCCCTGGGAGAGGTAAAATTGAACTTTGATTTGCGATGATGAGCAAATTCCTCTTACTGGGATCAAGCGTGACCGCCTCTGAGAGCCTCAGGGTATTACCAAAAACATACGACCGTGAGGGGAGCCAGACCTGAGCACATAATCACGCTGGCCTCCTTCGACAGAAAGGCCGAGAGCCTCCCATCAGCCCCTCGCAGAGGTGGTGGTGAACTGCAGCATTCAAGGGACGCGAGTCCCGTCCAGCTATTCGGCTGATGGATGTAGTGCTGGGGTTCTATCCAGGAGGATGTTTAAGCTTTACTGCCAGTCTTGAACTAAAATGGGACGATTTCGCCCAGAAGCCTAACGATACCGTTATTGTAGAGTCAATGTGAGCTATCCATTTGCATGTTTTATGGTCAATATCCTTAAGAAACCAAAGCTCTCCATTAATTGTGAACAATGCAAGTTAAGGATAATTTAAGAATCCGTGCAATGTGATAGCACCGTGACCCGTGCAGTCCAGTGGCCGGTCAGCTCTTCTCACTGAAATTGTTAAAAGGCGTGAGGAAGAAGCATTTAACCTGCACGTGCAGTGCTTATTTAGAGCGCCTTGCCATATCCAAGTCCTGGCCGCAGCCAAGCGCAGAGCAAATAGGCATGGTGACACGGTTTCGCTAGACTTGGGTTCCATAGCTGCACGATCAGCGTGTAGAAGCATGCAGAGCTAAACGAATCATTCAACTGGGCAAACACCCCTGGATGAGCCCTAAAGCAAAGATCGCGGTCAGCTACAGATCCGGCTCTATGCACGTCAGCGTCCAGTTTCAACCTATCGCGTTTGGGCGCTCGAAGCTTCCTGAGGAATCACTGCAGGAGGCCAGCCAAATGACCCGCGACGGGGATGTTGCGGGTAGCGCTGTGTGGGCTGTCGCCATATCGCTTCTGCTTCATGTTGATCGGACGACAGCCCCCATCACTAGTGTTGCAGACTGGACCCGATGCAAACCGCCCACCGGTGGTTCAGCGTAACCGACTCTCTCGAGACCATCTCACCGGAATATCGTGTTTGAGGGTTCGGAGGATGCCGCCCGTCATCGGACGTCTGTGCTGGCCGTGGCGGGGCTTGAGGGTCGTTTTTAGCCAGGTGGCCCCAATCGAAGTGAGCGCAGGGTAGATTATTTGCGCACGTCACTGCTGTCAGCACAGTACGAGCTTCACGACGATGCGGCAGCGAGCGCGCATTGCCTCTGATCACGCTTCTTAGTAGGTGTAGTTGGGCCCAACGCCCGCGCAGGTCGACGTGCTGCCGTTCGGTGCCATTAGACCCCACGTGGCCAGTACTCTGACAGCGTCGGCTGCAGCTCGGCTGCTCATTGTTGGCGAGAGGACGACTGCGTCGCCAGATGTTGGCATCCGTATGATTCAGCCCACGGTCCAATATTGGCCTTCTGGAGCTCCACCTGGAGCCGTGCAGGCCGGCGCCACCGCTGCCAGCGTCTGGTATTGACCCCGGAACCTGCCATCTGGGCCAGCTTCAATAATCCAGAGCCGCGCTTCGGTACGGCGTTTGCCGCCCATCCATCGGTCATGAGTCGGGCAGGCTCGATGTCTACGGCGCCGAACTTCTCGACTCGGGCGCGGCAATATCCTGCCGTCTGTGGGGAGGCGATGCACTCTGTTGGGGGCGGCTGACAGAGTTCCCCGACTGGCTGTGACCGCGGCAGTCAAGAGGCAGCCGAGCACGCTAACCGCGGCAGTTGAGAGGAAGCCGAGCACACCAGGCCGCTGAAGGCCGCGGACTGCGGCGGGTGGGCGGGTTGACCACGCCACGCATCCGGGTACCACAGCGGAAAGGTCCTGGTAACTGTGTAAGCTTGCTCTTCAGGCCCGCTGCCGGCTTCGGACTAGTTTATTCATCAGAGCTTGGATAGTTCGGATGCTCTGTTTCTTAATGGTTTCAATGAATGCACAATGGTGTTGGGTATTACGACAGCGAAGCGGTGGGCACAAGCGGTGCCTTGGACTTCAGTGGATTCTGGTAATATTGCACACTATTAGCGCTATAAAAAAGATTCATGTCGCATGAGATGACCTGAACAACTCAACGGCCGGGTCTACTTCGTTATATGATGTTGGCCGATACAAATATGCCTGCAGTGATCTTTTGATCAGACCTCTAACGCTGTGAGTTCTTGGCTGTGTTGACTTTTGCATAGCTAACCTGCAATGTTGTTTCAAAACAGAAGAAAGTCTATGGTGGAAGTAAGGACATATTGCAGCACATGAAAATAACACTAATTAATCATCATACGATTTATAAACCTTCGCCAGACAGAAACACCATCTCTCGTTGCTCGCAAGAGTCCTTCCTGGTTACTCGCTCCAGAAAACAAATACTGCTGAGGGGCTTTGTCGTCTGTGCTCTCCGAGACCATGGCGGACTGTCTGAATCCCTCCACAGTCAGACGTGATGGTGTTGGCGGGCGCGCCAGCACTGACCTGCGCTTCAGCAACGTCTCTAGCTCGTAGACGCGTTTCTCCAGGGCCGGCACCTGACCCGCCGTGACCTCCAGCTCCTTGACACGACACACAGCGGTCACCAGCAGGTGGCGGGTCTGGGTCAGCTCCACCAGCAGCTTCCGTCTGCGAAGAAATCAAAGAGGCACCGTCAGCTGACCGTCTGAGCTCGCCGGAATCACAGCAAGCGGTGTTTTCTTTTGGGGGATCAGAGTTATGCACCGCCAGGCTGTCAGACGCTGTTTGTTTTTGATAAACCGGCGCGTTGGAATCGCACCACTTGACGAGTGACTCAGGTGCTGCCCGGCTGCTAAAACTGGGTCATAAAAAGCGCCCCGTCATCCGCCTTTGTGGCTGGCAGTTTATTGGAAGCGAACCAAACGGTAATCAATTAACTGCGTCCATAAAACAGGCCGAGATTGGTCTGGGCCGGAAGGCTGTCCGACGCGGCATGGACGAGGCCAGGGAGCGGCCGTGCAGTGTAGGGCGGACCTCAGCAGCACTGGGCTCACGCCCAGCAACCTGGCACGCAACATCCAGCGCTGCGAGGGGGGCTAGTTTTGGTTGGCATTGAGCGAATGCTTTCAGGGTTGGCTGCCGGCGAGGTGCTACCATGTGTCTAATCCGGCCAGAATTACAGCCATCAGGCGAACTCTAGCGAGGTCACTGTCTCGCCACGGCTCGCATCGTTTCAGCTCGCAGCGCCGACGAGTCCACTGACCGCGCCCGCTTGTCATTCACATGTGGCACCCAGTCGGCCACATCCATCACGTGTGGGGGAGGGGGGGGGGGGGGGCTGCGTGGCAAGGTTAGTAGAACGTTGGCCCGCGACCCCGTTCGCCGTCGCCGGCTGGAGGCAGGCCATCTCCGTCTCCTGCACAACCGACGCGAAGGCTGGTGGCTTTAGGCGACCAGGGAAGTCTAGTGGTCTGCAAAATATCCGAAATATCATGCGTGCCCATTGCATGAGACCTTCAACCATTCTGGTATGTCACATAACTGATTTGGCAGCCCTTCTCCGCCGAGCGACGCGCCCCGACTATTTGCGTCCGTCGCGTGAGCTGGCGTTGCATCATCGCACCGTCCCTTGTGCCACCTGACTGGAACTCAGATCACCCAGCTCGGCCAACTAACGCTTCTTCACCGCGTGACAGGACGCCGCTGGTGTTTCCAGTCCAATGGCCTCCATTCACCACTGCTCGGTTGTTAGGATGAAGTCAGCGCGCGCTGCCGTCCGCGCGGTGAGTCACTTTCGAAGGGGTCGTTACTGGGAGCGGTGGCAATGACCAACCCGTTAGCGCCTGATGAGCCTGCGGCCCCCGGACGCTATCTGGCAGACCTTTCCGTGACCTGACCACGCCTGACGGCGCTGTGCAGGCCTGCCAGCACAACCAGACTGTGGCAGCACAGTGCAGCGACACTGTCATCCGCCCATGGAATGCGCGTGTAATTCACTAAAAGATCAAATGGATGTCGCAGTAATTCGACAGATAAGTTGTGGTCACGGAATGCGACGCGCGAGCTCCAGAGTCGGAATTACGACGTGAATATATGTGCATATGTCTCAAAAATAAATTGCGATTCGGTGCTGAACGCTGGGTGCAAACTCTCAGATAGCGTAGTGAACGGAAGTCGACTTTTTACAGATTCAGTCTTAACCTTTTTACTGTATGGATTTCTTGGAGCAGCGCCCACGCTAATCAGGACTTGTATCAGCGCTGCCTCCACCATCCGATCTTAAAATGTCCGGTGAGCGGCAGAATCCTGCGGCGAAAGTTAAACGTGCCGCCATGTTCGGCACGGTCTGTCCTGCACCCTGACGTCAGTCGGCCCATAGCGCACCCGCCACCGGCTGCAGAATATCCTGATCAAGCGCCAATAATGAGCGCCTGAAGCGATTCAAACCACTGCACACGCTCTATAACAAACCAAGCGATCGGAGCAGACGGAAAGATGGCGTGCCAAATGGCGGCCGGCCAAATAACCGCGTAAAAAATGATTCAGCGGGTTGGTGAATGGTAAAGTGGTGACGTGTAAAAAGATGTGCCAACGCACAACGCCTAATTCCGCCAGAACCGTCCGCCCTAGACCGCTCTGGATGACCAACTCACGCCATGTCCAGTCACGAAGCGTTCTATTTCACCTTACCAGTTTCCTGTCAACCTAAACAAGCTGAGATTGTCTGCGACTGTGATGCAAGCAGGATACCAAACCACTGGCGGACGGACGCAGCACCAACAATTCTCAGACACCATCATGGACTCACGTGGCATTCTTCAGAAAGCGTCGAAGCGCATGGACAAAACTCTTATTATCCTCCACGCGCAAGACAAGATAAAAAAGGCATAACTTCCCGGACCGGTTCTAGAAAGCGCACTACACTGATTGGGCCCAAGTTTCCACAGGTGGTGCACATCTGACGACTGAACTGCGTCTTCAGACTGAACCGCGTCTTCAGAATCCGTCAACGTCGCGATACCAGCCAGTTGCTTCACGGCATCCTTCGGGACCACCGAACTCCTGCAAACTTTGATCACCGGCTGCATCAGCTGTGATATACGTCCCTGCTTTCATCCCGGACTTCCCTCGCTGATCTAAAGGTCAAGCCCCAGCTCAGGGCAGCATCCAGAGACACAACGCCCAGCGCCTGCGGTGCGATCAGCAATGTTCCGTGCGAAGTCCCGCGCCCCACGTCAATGAAAGGTCCGCACGATGGCAGCCCGGACAGGTGGGGCTTTCTAGCAGGATTACAGAGGGGCACCACTGGTCCCGTCTCCACGGCCACCTGCGCTGAGGCCGGTCCCGAGCGCGAAGTCGGGACGGCACGGGACGAAGGACGGGACGAGGCCGGGACCGCACGGGACGAGGGAAGGGACGGAGCCGGGACCGCAAGGGAGGAGGGACGGGACGGGACCGGGGTGGCATGGCACAATGGACAGGACGGGACCGGGACGGCACAAGGGACGTGATGGGACCGAGTTGGCACGGCACGAGGGATGGGACGGGGTCGAGGTGGCACGGCACGATGGACAGGACGAGGCCGGGACGGCACGAGGGACGGGACGGAGCCGAGGTGGCACGGGACGAGGGGCGAAACCTGCTCCACTGGGTGGCGGCGAAGTGATCGCGCGATCGACCGCTGGCCGTGGAGGGCGGCGGCGCCGGCTCCTCCTAAGCGTCTCGTAAATGACACTTTTACTGCAACAATTTGTCAAGGTCCTCCTTTTACGTGGGCTAAAATGAAGGAATTCTTTACCAGATTAGTTTCTACAGGTTTCTCATCAGAGACATTGTGGCCTCTCCATGGACCAGCAGGCACCCATGAACTTCGCAGGCTTCTGACTTGCCGTGTCTATGACCCGTGAGAGTTGGAGATAGCTGCCGGTGAACCCAGTTAGGCATGCTCAGAGCAGTCCCGAACGATGCCGTTTTAGCGGAGCGATGCTGTATGCACCTCACCGCGAGTTGTAGCCAGCAATATTCGTCTCCATGGATGTAACTCACACATCCACCCTCTGTGCAAGCTTCCCAGTACAGCCCAGAGTTCTTCGTGGATCTCGGACATCTGTAACTCATTTCAGAAAAGTTTGTTACTACGGGTACTATAGATGCTCTCAATGGCTGGGCTTAGTGGTTAGGGAACGGCTGGGCTCAGGATTCAACTATGATTGTTCCCTTCCACGCTACTAAAGTTGAAATGGGCCTCGGAGGCTGCAGATTTCTGCTGGCATCATGCGAGCCTATATTAATCGAGCTGGGATAGAGCACTGTTTACCAGCAGCATTACTGAACGTATTTTGGAACTGAAATCGTAAAAGCATTACTACATTACCAATCAGGGACTGAATGCAAAAAAGCACAGCCATTTATATGGCTCTCGTTGATTTCCCTGTCTCACCACGGACTCTGTGTTTGTGTCTGTACATACCACTCACGCACAATTTTTGATCCCACATATATATGCATGGTATTGTTTCATTGGGCAGTGGATGAACGTATTTATATGTATGCTTTGTATCGCCTTCGGATGTTAAGCGAAAGGTTCCGCATTGGAATATGTTGAAGCAAGCATCAGATAGGATGAAGTAAGCTCACTTATAACTAATGACGAATTTTTAGTGGAAAGGACTGCTGCAGACAACACCTTCTCTTTATAGTAAATATGCTTGTCAGTACGCCATTACTTGATTACGTCACCGCACCGTGTACACCATTTTTGAAAACCAGCGGACGGTCATTTTATCTCGAAATCGTGCTCACAAACACTAGATATGGATGGCTCAGCAATTGCATTTTTCTTGGCCCTGCTCGCTGCATGACTAATGAAAACGCAAGATTTGAATGGCATTATGACGCCATCATGGCTGCCTGGGTGACCTTGAAATAGTCTCCTCGACATCGTCTGCACATGTTCACGGGCGTGTAGCACAGACACCAGAAGGGTCTCGGTCTTGAGAAGGGCAGAGCTGTGAACTGCATCGAATGATCTTCAAGTTGGCTACTTCAGCTCAAATGCCCTATGCAAATGCAAAACACTCACTATGGCTGCGCTGCGCAAGGCGAACCGGGGAAAATTTTAGGTGTGGCCCATCGAACCAGAAGACCAAGTGTATCAGTATTCTTCTACAAATGTTATGGCAGCGCTTCACTCCACAAAGATGGATACACTGCGGCGCTATAACTCACAGTCATTCGTCTTTTTTAGGCGATGGACATCCTCACGACAAAATATTGCATTTTGAGACGGATTATCAGCATTTGTATTTCAAAACAACAAAATGGCAAATTACATTTCGTTGGTCAGGGAAAGACGCAGCCACCGTCGAGCTCCGCGGAGAACAGATTATTCAAGGACTGGCATTCCTCACCCAGGTTTCCAAACCATTCCACTCATTCTTATAAGCTATCTTACAGGGTATCTTTAACCCATGATACTATTTTCCTAATCATGACGGGTACAGTAACAGCCACCAAAATGTGTGAATATACAGGCTTTCGAATGCAAAGCCAAAAAGCAGGATGAGCAAGGTAAAGCTGGGACTGAACGGAGTAGGTTGAAAATTGGTAAACATTGAAGAAGGTAGGTTAAAAGGGCACTAAACGGAGCTTGCTATGTAAGCCTGCTC